GTTTATGATCAGTCCCTCAACGACACATGCCTCGTTGAGGTGTAGATCTAACCACCATCCTCTAATGAAGCTACCTAAGAATCTAAGTGTAGAATTCCTCTAGCGATGTTTTGTTCTTAAGCTTGGGGATTTGAAGAAGACTGAGTCTTTAAAAGTGCTAGCAATTATAAAGTTAGTGTGTTTTCCTTCAAGGTTTTGGTGGAATAATTTTAGTAATATAAAATTCTATGATGGAAAAATCAAATATCCATCATTAGGGATTCAGGGTTTTTTAACCTATTTATATTAATGGGGATTACAAAACTTACAATTCTAATCCAATTAGAATTGCTAAACTTAGTCTTCAAGTCTAAATAGAAAACCTATAAGCGGAAGACTTTCCTATCCTTAATTTTTCCCTTTCTTACTACACTCCCTAATCCAATATGGAATAGGATTTTTGGCCATGGCTCTAAGCCCATTATGTTGTTAAAGCCCTAAGCCTAATAGGTTAAGGTTTTTGCCAACAAGTCCTTCAAGAACTTAAATGTCACTATGGATTTTTCTTACCCTTAGAACAAATCCAAACTTGAATTAATTAAATTAAAACATTAATCCATGTTTACAAACTTGGATTTATATAACTAGTAATCCCCAAAATGTATTAAGTCTGTGACCTTTTAGGTTCTATCATGATAACAATAAGAAATGCTCATAGACCAAGAATGGTATGTTGCAACACATTACGACCACCCAAAGTGATAAAAAGAGTTGATGGCTTTGACAAACCTTCTTATGATCAATAATGGTGTAATTCAAACCCTTCATCACCAATATCTCCATCAAGCAAGATGAATGTTATGTGTCATTATCCTTGAAACTCAATATTTCTTTTTGTGATTTCCAAGATAGACGTACTTCTTGAATTAGCTTTTATCCATGCCATGGCCATGGACTTTGCAAATAGTCTTGTCTCAATCAAAAGGTCAGAGATATCTTCTCTTATAAACTCAAGAAGGAAGAATTCTATCTTGACCTCATTCATTACTCTCATGCGATTCATGAAGCTTCCAATAACTGTATTACTCGCAACCTTTAGAAATGGTTGTTTTTAACAACATCTGGTACATGAGTCCTCACATAGAATAATGACAATCTCAAGTCAAAGGATCGCTTCCACTCACATCAAAGTTAAGAAGCTACTAATAACATGTACATGTAGAGTTTTCATGGCAAGTTAGTCTAGTGCACTGTAATATCACAAAATTTTCTAAAATTTTAGAATTTAAGTTAGGGACTTATGTGGTAGAAATTATTATTGTTAGGCCTAATGATTAAAATTCACAAACCCAAGGAGGTTAAAAGTGAAATCTGGTATTAAGGGGCTAAGACTGATTTTCCTTCTCCTTGCCCTTCTTGCATGTTTCCTAGCTCCTTACCATAAACTCTGTAGCCACAAGCCCTAACTTGCCCCAACTCCTCCTCATTGTGAGAAATAGGTAAGACTTAGATTTTTCTTCCTTTTCTTAGCAAGGTTTAGAGATCAATGAGCTTACAGTTCCAAAATGATGATAAAAAATCAGAGGTTGTTGCCGATCCCTCCAATCTCCTAGTCTATGTTGGGTTTGTTGTCTATAGTAAGGGATCACCATTTTCCAACACTTTCCAGTAGGAAATCAGCCACATTGCTCATCTTTTTATCTTTGATTTGAATTGGGTTAATTCTAATTCTTTAGATTTTTCAATTTTGGGAGTGTTTCTCTAGTCACTAGAATCTGATCCCTTTTCCAAGAAATTCTGACAGCATGACCTTATAGTAGTTTTTTGCCCATAACTCTTTCTATACCTATTGGATTAAGTTCATTCTTGATTCTATGGAAAATTAAGAGATAACCCTACATGTTTTCTGTTGGACGGTTAACCTAGTTAAGCTGTTTTTGCGGCGAAAACTCTACTACAAGTTCGGTTCCTAAAGGTAGACACAATTGGCAGCCCGACCTTATGTTAGTATTTTAGTTATAACTTTCTCTGTAGATATCAAATTAAGGTGATTCTTAATTCTATAGAATGTTAAGACATAGGGTTACAATTTAACTATTAATCATTCAGCCTAGATTGGTCAATTTTTGGACGTAAATTCTGTTGGAACTTCCTATTCAGAATTTGACCAAAACTTTCTCAGAAATTTGTTCTGTTTTTCTACTCAATTCCCACATTATTTGTTGCCATAACGCATCATGGCTTTAGTAGACTTTTAGCTACTATTTTCCTACTCTAAAACCCTTTGTTATTGCTTTATTTTGGTTGCCTTTTTGCTATTGCTTTTGTGCTTAAATGTTGTCCATTTCAACTTAGTTTTGGCTTATAATCTGCACTATTTTGCTGCTATCTTTTGCCCAGAAAATCCCTATTGTTTAGGGTTTTTTTCCAAGCATTTTGGGACTGTTTTGAATGGCAGAAACCCCCACTTTATTGCCTAATATTTCTACTAGCGTCTAGGATGGTTTTAAGCTTAGTTTCTCACATTTTTTCCCTCTTATTCTGTCCAAAACATTTGTTTGGAATACCTACTATTTAGTGTGACGTTTGAAGTTGTTTTAAGCCTATTCTAAGTGCATTTGATGTGGTGTGTGTAGGTTCTCAATCACCTCAACAACCTTGAGTTCTTGAATTATTGCTTGTTGTATACCTACAAGCTGGGGTAAGTAAAACGATGGTAATTACCCTTGGATTTTAAGGTAAAGGTTTTAAATGCATATTTTGAATTGTTTTTGAGATGCTGGCAGTACCTAAACTGATTTTTATTAGCAGTTGAGCATGACTAATTTGAAATGAAGTTGTTATTATTTTTGTTGAGTTGAGCATGCCTACATGAAGTTTAGTTGTTTGTTTTAGAAATCTAAATATTGGTTTACAAGTTATGACTTTCCTATTAACTCCTGCATATTTGTAAATTATGGATTTTCCTGTTAACTTTTGCATGGTTTTGTCTCTAATATGGTTATGATCCCTGAAGCTCGCTAGTGGAAGTTGTAAACGCTGGCACATGTCTACATGTGTTTCTGGAAACTAGTTTATTCTTGTTATTTCTATTATTCTTGCCAATGGGATAATACATTAGTTATTCTTGATGTTTGCCAATGGAAGTTTGTTAAACATTGGCCATGACTAATTAAGGAGACAACTATTAACTCTGCATTAATGGTTTATAGCTAAGATTTTTCCTATAGTTTATGTTTTAAATTGTTCATTTGGCATGCTTTAACTTTAAATAAGGGCTACCCATATTTTTACTTATTGAGTGATCTCACATAGTGTTTTCTTGTTTATCATTTCAAGTAGCGAGACTAGGGACGTGGGAAACTAAGGGAAGTGACAAGCTAAAAGGCTAGCTGCTTGTATTTTGGATTTAGATTATTTTGGATATAGGTTGCTAGTTAAATTATTTTTGGACATAGAGTTGTATCAATTTTCATGCACTCTTGGCCTAGTAAAACTTGGATTATAAAAGCCAGATGTTATTTCAAGATTTAGATCTTAGTTTAATGGATTACTAGATATGAATTAAACAGGTTTTGAGTCTTGTGCACTTGTGGGATCCTCTCACAACATAAGTGCACAGTGTTTGTTTAGCTCTTAGTTTTGGGGCGTGACATGCACTCACATATTTTGAGTCACCTACATGTGATGTGACTTTATAAGAAGAAGTCTTGTCTTCCAACAAAGTGTCACACATGATAGTTTTTATATTATTGATGTCCTATCTTAATGATATATATGACCATTAGACAATTTCAGAGTGTTGCTATCGGTTTATACGGTTCTCACTATTAACAATGACTACTATTACCTTTTAATTCAATAGATATCCTAGGGATTTTATCCATATTTAACTTACATTGATGAATAATAGTTAATATTCAATAAAGAATGTCATAAATATAATTAGTATAAGCACAAGTATATAAGATTGTCTTGTCAATGTAATTGGCTCCTAGGGCATACTCTAACAAGTGACATGTAGATTAAAATTAAAATTATGGACTAAAAGGCAACTCCAACCTTGAATGACGTTGTTTCACACTAAATGGGCAAAGAAAATAGTGCTTCTATTTAACTTTTTTGATATTAACCTTCCGGTATCTGATAACCACATTGGGTCCCGAATAATCCAAAATTGAGCAGCGTCTGACCCTATTAGGGGGAAAACTCTCACAATACCTGTTTCTTCATTCACAAGACTTGAATTCAAGACTTTATTTAAAGGGAATTGAACTCCTTCCACTCAGATCAACAGGTCGTTGGTGTCCTTTTATTTAACTTAACAAACCTAAGTTCTAATTTTGGACCTTCAAATTTAGCTATCCATTTTTCAATTTTAGTATATCATTTAATGTACTAATTATAAAATAAATTAAATAAGAAATATTATTTAAGCAGTGATTAATGAGGAATAAATATGAAATTTTATCAATTAATTATTACATATTTATTTTATTAGACAAATAAAATTATATCTATTAAAGTTAAACATATGGGGTAAAGGTTAAATGCTAAATTTAGCCCTTAAACTTTTAATTTTGAATAGTTTAATCCTTATACTATATTTGCACTTTTCATCCCTCTACTATAAAATATGCTCTTTTTTATCCTTCCCTTGATTTCATCTATTAATTCTGTACAGTTGACATTTTAAGTAATAATTTTTATTTTTAAAAAATGTTTTTGACCTTCTTTGTATTATTAAAGCTATAATATTTTTTCGGCCATCATTTTTTCATTTCTACTATTTTTTTGCCACCATTAATCATAACATTGGACTTAATATCTAAAAAAATTAATTTTATTAAAGACATTAAGTTGATATGAGATGTATTTTTAAAAAAATAAATTAATTTTAAAATACCTAAAATTTACTGAAGAGACACCTTAATAAAATATATCAAAAATATTAATACGGGTAATAATAATAATCGGGCCATTCATCATTCTTGTGGCTTCATCGGATTGTACCCATAGGTACAACAACCGGTGGTACTGAGGGTTTTGTGTTTTACACTTCTACGATCATTCGCCTTCCTGCTGACTGCTGCTCTTTGCTTTCTTGTTCCTTCCGCTTGAGCTATTGTCAATAACCATACTCGATGTGGTACTTGTGTGTGTTTTACCACAGATTGCTAGATTACCGGAAACCAGAACTTGAATCTCTTGCCGATCTGTTCGGAGCTTTTGGAGATAGACCCTGCTTCGAATTCGATAACCGGGGCAATTCTCTTGAATGGCGGCTTCCCAAGCACCACCACCCGGACTCCCCTTTTCATTTCGTTGATTTACCTTCCCAAGATGTTGCCCGGAATGTTGCTAACCGGAGTAAGTATACCGTTCTTCAAATTTATGTTACTGTTTTCCTCTGAAATTTTAGGAGTTGCAAAATTTTGCTCCATTCATAGTAAGGGAACCTGATTATTTCAAGTTATGTTTCCATATTAGGTAGTTGAAGAAATGTATGTTTAATTGTGCTAACATCTTTGGTTTTTTGCTATCTTTATAGCAATAAAGACGGGATGTTATTTGATTTTGATTAATGTTACTGCATGAACTCGTCTATATCAGAACATAAAGCGATGGAAGACTGCAAAGTTTGATTTTTCTATAACCCTTCCCTTGTGAGGCAAATTTACTATCATGTATGATTCATATTGGGGGAATCTCCTGGCTATGAATCTACTTACCAATGTTGTTCTAATGAATCATGTTTTTGGTACTTGAATTTGTATTCTTTATGTTATAATCAATTTTGGCCTGGTTTCAACTAAAAGAATGAAGTAATTTTCATAGGCAGGAGTGCCTGGTCAAATTGTTTGATGCCTTGCAGGATGCGGAACTGCACTTCCACTAAACATTATTGACAATCATTATAGTCATTGATAATAGTTTGTATAACTTTCAGTGAATTGCTTGTATATTTATTTTAACTTTCTATCATTTTCCTGTTTATCAGACTTTTAAATGATAGATTCAATCTTTCAGAACTATCTCTCTTTTTGGCAATATAGTTAATTTAGAAAGCAAGATGGTTAGGGCATCCTTAATAATTTTCTTGATATTTTATTTTAATAAAGTTGCACAATAGGTTTTCATCGTGGGAAACTTGAGTCTACTCTTTCTGTGTGAAATTGTAGGTATACTTGTGAAAGGAATCTATGAACTTTGGGGAGAAGGAAGTAACTATGAGGAACTGGAAGAGGCTGTGAAAAGCTATCCAGATGAGCAGAAGTTGCCATACTTGACATCTGACAGCACATTTAAGATTATTGTTGACAGCTTTGGAAAAGTAATAAGTCTTCAGGAGCAAAATAATCGAATACGAGGGCTTACATATATCCCATTCAAGGTACAATTCTTTCTTTATTTAAGCTATCAAGGCATGGATCTTTGATTTTCATTCTTAAATCAATCTGGTGGCTTTTAATCTTGATTGAAATTCCAGTGATTTTTGTGACAAGATCCTACCTAAGTTCCAGTGCTTATTTCCTTTTTCTCTGCCCTCTGCCCTCTTCCATTTTCATTTTCTTTTCCCTTTGTCACTGGCTTGTTGAGGTTACCATGGGTTAAGGATGCTGCTTAAGGTTGCTTAGGTTTCTTTTTTCTTTTCTTGGAAACCTAGTGTCCAAATAATCTGTAATTGCCATAAAACTACCCTTTTGTGGCTTTTTTATTCCAATCTGTCTTGATAGTACCACAAACTGACACGGTGCAGGTTAGTGATCTAGTGGGTTTGAGAATTCACGACTTCTTTGAAGGTAGTTTAGGCTATCAATAGTGTGCGTGAACAGTAAAAAGAAGGTTAGGAATTTAGTTTAGAAGAGGAAAGAATAAAGAACCCTAGGAATCAACCTAGGCACCCTTAGGAATAACTCCTAAGGTAGATTGCCTCACACAATCAAGAGCAAAACTTGCTGGAAAAGTCTGAATATTATTAACTGAATGTCTAAAGAAACTACAAACATGTATATATATATTTAACTGGGGCCCCACTTAAATGATGGTTGTGATTGGATGTCCTGGCAATTTTAATGCCAAGACATCCTAATTTTCACTTTTTTGTATATATATATATATATATATGAACAACTACTAAAACTACTAACAGAACTCTTATTTAGAAGTACTAATCCAACTATGACTCAGTAATAATTAAATAACTTTTAAAAATAATAATATAAAAAAAAAACTAGTAAAAGACTTAGTTAAGCTCCCAGCTAAGCATCTCATCATTGGCCATGTGCCAAACTAAAGCATGGGCTTCAGAGCCAACTTTGGCTCGCCTTTTGTAAACCTTTGGGGGTTGCTGTCAACATGGCCCATCGCATACTTTCTTGTTACAAGTTAAAAATATTGTTCATATTTATTTCAACTTTGAAATATTTAGTTTTGTCAAGTTGAATGAATTTGGCACTTGCAAGATCTTTATGTATAATTGCATTTATTATGATTTGTGTCTTAAATGTAAATAACTTCTCTTGGCTCTTGATGGTACTTTTTATTTTAAAACTTTCCTAATGTTAAGTACTAATTAATAATGGTGCAGGGGCGAGTCAATTTAAAGAATCCTGATCACAAGTTCTGGCTTATAGAAACAGAGAATGATATTACAAATAGTGGGCTTCCACCAGTAGTACAAAGGAGAATCTTTTTTGGTAGGGAGGTTGGGAGTGCAGATAGGAAGCTTTTACCAATGTATCAATTAAAAAGCCGTACTTATCTTGGGCCAACAGCTATGGATGCAGAAATGGCTTTCTTAATGTCCAATCAAGCACAGGCTGCACCAGGGAAACTTGTTTTTGACCCTTTTGTTGGTACGGGGAGCATTCTTGTTTCTGCAGCTCACTTTGGAGCTATGACAATGGTTTGCACTTTCTTGCTTTAGCATTAATTTTCTCTCCTAGTATTATCTGGGAAATACATCATAACTATTTCTCTGCAGCAGTTTCTTCTAATATTAACCATATTTGAAATTATTTAGGGTGCAGATATCGACATCAGAGTAGTTCGTGATGGGCGTGGCCCTGACTGTAATGTTTGGAGCAACTTCAAGCAGGTGCAAGCCTTTTCTTCCTACTTTCGCATGTGCAGTCGTATGTGTGATTTTTTAATATCTTATTTATGGGAAAGGCCTTCAGAACCTGCTTTCTTCCAGCAGCATGAACATCGTTGGCAGTTTTCTGACAGTTTCCTTTCATGTTGAATTATTTTTGTAAGATATTTTAGACTATAGTCTTTTGGTGTTTTGTTACTGAAAAATAGTTCACTTCATTCCACTTTCGAGTTCTGAAAATTTAATTTGCACTTTGAGGGCTGTGTTAGCCTTTTGCTTAAGACCTGTATGGGGCTGTCCTTATATGCTGCTCTTATCTTGTAGTATGGATTACCAATGCCAATTGCACTCTTACGAGCAGACAACAACCTACCTCCTTGGCGTCCTGGATTAAAGGAGGTAATTTCTTATAAATTTTCTTGCTAAGGTTTTTTAGTTGCCAATATAGCTGGTACTTTTACTTAATTTATGGTAGTCATTGTAGGTTGATATGCTACTCTAATTGGATATAGAGTTGTGGAAGGAGGCTGGACATTAAGCATTGGTGAGAAAAGGAATTAGGAATTCATGATTGAGGGTAAAAAGAAGTACAGTAGTTGGCATGTGCCTACACCTTAGAAGAGATGCATAAGAAATCCGTTCAAATATCCCTGTTGTTATCCCTGTTGTTATTCTGCAGCTTATGCTCTGATTTATAATTTTTCTTTTTCTTTTTCTTGGTCTGTTGGCTAGGTTTTTGATGCAATAATTTGTGACCCACCTTATGGAGTTCGGGCTGGAGGACGTAAGTCAGGTGGCCGAAAATTGCTTAAGGGGGTTGTGGATCCTTACATAGTTCCTGATGAGAAAAGGGCAGACCATATCCCATCAACTGCACCTTATAGCTTAGCTGAGTGCGTGCATGATTTGCTTGATCTTGCTGCTAGGATGCTTATAATGGGTGGCAGGCTTGTGTTCTTCTTTCCGGTACTGAGAGAAGATGATTCTGGAGAATATCATTTTCTGGAGCATCCATGCTTCAAACTGGTTGCTGCTTCTGAGCAGATACTGAGCTCACGTTACAGTAGAGTTTTACTCACTATGGTAAAGACATGCTCGTATACTGAAGAACTTGCAGAGGCAGCAAGAATAAAACATTTGGAGTTCAAAGAGAATCATCTTAAGTGGTTAGAAGATAGTAATCTTCATTCTTCTGTTTTCAGCCCAGCTGATGTTTCATCGGCTGATGCAAAAATTAGGAAAGAATCAAAGCCAAAATACAGAGGGAAATATGTATAGTCTTGCTATTAGTATTAGCTGATGACAAAAGGGTGAAGCTTTTAACTTCTGCTGATGACAGAGAAAGGTTGAAGATTCTGATTTAGAAAAGCAGGCATTAATATATATGTAAAATGTATCATGCATTGTTGGAGGTTGTCTTTTCTTTCAATTTTTTTTTCTTATTTTAAATTTAGGATGCATTGTTACAGTTGAGACAAAAAATCCTTAGTTGAGAATGTGATGTGATGACATGTTTTTTGAGGTGATTGACAATTTCTTTTTCTCTCAACGAGAACGTAATGACATTGTTCGGTTGCCATTCTAGAATGGTTAAGTGTTAATTTTAGTCCTTTAACTATATAGTTTTACATAATTTATCTTTCAAATATTTTTTATATTTCTTTTATTCCTTAACTCTAAAAGCTACACAATTTTAGTCCCTCCATCAGTTAGGACTGTTAACTTAGTTCATGTGCCATTTTTGAATTTTTTTTTAATGACATAATACAACTTAAAAAATATATTGATATGGACCTACTAACCAAATGTGTTAAAAGGCACTTCAAATAGGTAGGTCTCACATTGCTTGAAAAGAATTAAATAAAGGGGTAAAAAATTCATGACTATTCTATAAACCCTAAAATGTTCTCTCATCTCTACTCTATCTACAAAATTGATCTTAATTTATGTCCTTTTCTTCATCTTTTCTAAGCACAACTTTAGGAGATCCAAATGCAGGGATTTCATTATAAGATTTGCTCAAATTAGGTTGCCTCTAGTACTAGTGGGGGTGAATCCTTACAATATGTTTGTGATTGTGGTTTGAATGTTGTGGTGGGAATGTCGTTCACTTACCAAAACATGGCAAAAAGGTTTTGTGGGTACCTTAAGTTAGTGGTATGTTCTATATGGGCAAAACTCCCAAATCCATCTCGTAAATAGATCGACAAGGACAGATCCAACCCTTGAAAAAATGCAGAGACAAATTACCCCTCTAAATTATAAATCAAGACAAGTCACCCATTTTTTAACAAAAAATGTCAAATTTTTATTTGCCACGTCAGCATTTTTTAACAAAAAACGTTAAAAAAATGGTGATTTGTCTTATTTATAATTTGGAGAGACAATTTGTCCCTGCATTTTTTTGAGGGGTGGATCTGTCCTTGCTAATCTATTTAAAGGGTAGATTTGGGGGTTCTACCATTCTAATGAAACTTATTTTCATTTGCATTGAGTTGTCTTTGTCTGTTGGTTTAATGATTTAACCTTGCTAGAAACCTTGCGACTACTTTCATTTTTTTCTTGGTGAAGAGATAATCAAGGGTAGACCAAGGGAGTTGCTTTTGATATTAAAAGACAAGGGCTCTAAAGAGAGAAGATGAGAAATTGCCCAAGGAAAATACTATTTTGGTGCTAGAAAATGAGGAATGAAAATGTGAATTTGAAGAATGATAATGAGAATTTGAATAATGAAAATGACACGTTGAAGAACGATAATGGGTATTTGACAAATCAGTGTGTAATTATGGATGAAGAAGATAAAGACAAATAAGAAGAAAGTGAAAAGGTTGGATAAGGATTATTGGACATCAAATAAACTTAATCACATAATGTGTGTATGTTTTGTTGTATTCGTGGCTGTACTTCTTGCATATTAGTTGGTAAATCTATGTTCATGTAATGAATAAGGAGGAGTTGTATCTATATATGTAATGTTGTTGTTATGTTTTTGTCAATTCCCAAATGTTGAAATGCATGAAATTTTTGGGTGGCACAATGTTCCTTGCTATCTTAAAGTGAAATGAATGAAATTTCTAGGTTATTTCAATGGCATTTCTATACCAAATTAATAAATTATGCACAAAGGCATTCTAGTATCCAAGATAGGTAAATTTGGTAATTGGTCATTTACTTAAAACAGTTCACAAAACCACTAACATGAGAATTCTAATGTCTATATATGCATTTGGTTAATCCTAATGCAAAAATTATGAAGCATATATAGTCATATACAAAATACATACAGTCAAAGTCTAAATCATACGCAAATTATACTAGATTCCCTGCCAAATATGACAAAAGACCTTAGCTCCTATATTTGTCCAAAAACAAGCATTCAAATGCTTTACTGAAGGCAATACACGCTGATGAGAACCCCAAAGAGAACAATGAGACCCACAGCACGACAAGGGATTTTTAAACTCA